AGCAACAGATTCCACTTTGGCTAGGAGGTCTGTCCTGGGGGACAAGCCCATAGCCTCCAGTTAGGAAATTATAACATCATAGACTGGAGCCCCCACGGCCATTTGTAGGCTAAGCATACTAATGTTTGTGTCCATTGTGGCATCAATCAGTTTTGTAGGCACATCTCATTCTCCTATGATTTGGGCTGATGGAGGAATGGGATATCCCAGAACCCAATTAGAATCCGTGCCACCCCAAGACACTTTATGATGCCTGGGACATCCTAGCACCATCCTTAAAACCTGGCATGGGAAATATCAAAATTCCAGTAACAATTATACTATGACCTTTATTCATAATCAGAGAGATCAGTGCCTTATTTGCACTACCTATCCATATGTTTTCCTTAGGGAACCAATATTTCCATACCCCAAAACTCCAAGTTTGTGACCCAAGTGCAAGGACAGGCTTGATTCACCTCATGTGTGACTAATTACACTATATCTCAATTTAAGTATTACTAGTGTCAAGGTATTAAGGAAACAATCTAAGGCATTCCTACCAGTCAATTTGACACACCACTGGCAAGATTCCTCTGCTCTTGCCCTTAGAATGTGCCCTGTCCCAGGTCAGACACAAAAGATTCATAGGTACGTTTACAGCCTTTGTAGTCTCTACCATAGTCATCCTAGCCACTGCTAGTGTTGCTGCTGCATCTGTTACTGAAGCAGTATAAACAGCTACCTTTGTGGACAGCTTGGCCAGAAATGTGTCTACTGAACTTCTCCGACAGCAGGGAATTCTTACATGCTGGCAAGCCCTCATGGCTGCTGTAGAGTATGTAGGAGAATGACAAGAGGCACTGGCATTCCAACAATTAAACTGCAACTGGGAGCATAAGCATATTTGTGTCACCTCCCTACCATGGAATCAATCAATGCATCGCTGGGATGAAGCGAAACACCACCTCTGGGTAACTTTACGTGATAAGTAAACAGCAGACGTAAAGCAACTTAAAACTAAAATTCAAGAATCCCTAAATGCCATAAATCTGCACGTCCAACAAACAGCCATATGGAAGGATGGGCAAGAACATCTCTCCTGGATAGACCCTCACTCCTGTGAGACACTCCTTGACTGAAAAAGAATATTACTGATTATACTCATGTTTGTTTCAAGTTATTTACTAATTCTGGGATGCAAAGCCAAAAAAGAGCTGTAACCATTACGCCTGACAAACTTGTTGCTGCACACATCTATCAACAAAACTCTTCAATTGAGAGAACCTGATGCAAAAAATAAAAAAGGGGGAGATGTAGGAGATTGGTCAGCGTGGTGGGAGATGCGATAGGGAAATGGAAAGACGCAGACCTCGAAAGGTTTTGCAAAGCTTCAGGGGAGAATGTATGCTGAAGGCAGGTGTTCTCTTACCCTGAGGCAAAGGGCAAGGAGTAGGTACAATGGAATGTAGGGGCGTTTATCTAAATAGGCTTGTATACTTTTGTTGTCAGGAAACTGACTTTTTATCATCCGCACAGGAGACTGCTCCCTGGAACGAGGAGGACAGTGTTAATTACCTACAGATTGTGTTGGCTCCAGGCTTTTGGCAGTATGTCTGTACTACACAAAAGCTAGCAGCTCCAGCTTACCAAAACTGCTCACTCTGCCTGCAGTCCCCTAGTGGCTCCTACACTGCATACCTGTGTCTGTGAACTCCTATCACGCGTCGTTGCTCGGCCAGGGTCTGCAAAACAGACCTGACATAATAGACAGAGAGCCAAGCCATGAGTAAATTCCCATTCACAGAGAATAGAATACCTAGGAATACAACTAACAAGATGTGAAGGACCTCTTCAAGAAAAACTACAAACCACTGCTCACGGAAATAAGAGAGGACACAAACAAATGAAAAATATTCCATGCTCATGGATAGGAAAAATCAGTATCATGAAAATGGCCATACTGCCGAAAGTAATTTATAGATTCAATGCTATTCCCATCAAGCTATCATTGACTTCTTCACAGAATTAGGAAAAACTACTTTAAATTTCATATAAAACCAAAAAAGAGCCTGTATAGCCAAGACAATCCTAAGCAAAAAGAACAAAGCAGGAGGATCATGCTACCTGACTTCAAACTATGTTATAAGGTTACAGTAACCAAAACAACAGGTACTGAAACAGATGTACAGGTATTGATCGACTTACGACCTATGCAACTTACGACCATTCGACTTAATGACCACAATTGCTAGCCATGACTGCTCCACGTCTGGCAGCGCAAACATTGCCCTGCTGGGCGTACGACAGTGTGGACCAGCTTCCGGCAGCACTACCATCTCCGCGTGCACCATTTCAACTGTTATCCCAGACTCGGTACAGCAATTTGTGTTTTGTGTCTTGGATATTTTTCATCAAACCCCTCCCTAGATGTCTACCAAGAGGAAATTGTCTTTGTCTACACCTCAGCCTGCCAAGAAGGAAAGAAAGGCCATCGATCTCGACACAAAAATGAAGGTAATTAAGCAGTACGAAGGAGGAAAGAAAGTGAATGTGATCGCATAAAATGGACAAAGAAAATTATGATATATAACAATAATGAAAGAAAATTATAAAATATGACTTAAAGATTTTTATAACATCATTTCACAGTACTGTACATATAGCCTACTCAACTTACGACCAAATCGTGTTATGACCAGTCGGAACCAACGGTGGTCCTAAGTCGAGCACTAGCCGTATAGACTAATGGAACAGAACAGAGGCCTCAGAAATAATGCTACACATCTACAACTATTTGATCTTTGACAAACCAGACAAAAACAAGCAATGGGGAAAGGATTCCCTATTTTATAAATGGTGTTGGGGAAACTGTCTAGCCATATGCAGAAAACTGAAACCTTCCTTACCCCTTATACAAAAATTAACTCAACATGGATTAAAGACTTAAACATAAGACCTAAAACCCTAAAAATCCTAGAAGAAAACCTAGGCAATACCATTCAGGACATAGGCATGGACAAAGACTTCATGACTAAAACACCAAAAGCAATGGCAACAGAAGCCAAAATGGACAAATGGGATCTAAATAAACTTAAGAGCTTTTGCACAGCAAAATAAACTAACATCAGAGTGAACAGGCAACCTAAAGAATGTGAGAGAATCTTTGCAATCTCTCCATCTGACAAAGGGCTAATATCTAGAATCTACAAAGAACTTATACAAATTTATAAGAAAAAAATCTGATCAAAAAGTGGGTGCAATATATGAACAGGTATTTCTCAAAGGAAGACATTTATTGAGCCAATAAACATGAAAAAAAAATCTCATCTCATTACTGGTCATTAGAGAAATGCAAATCAAAACCACAAGGAGATACTATTTCATGCCAGTTAAAATGGTGATAATTAAAAAGTCAGGAAACAACAGATGCTGGAGAGAATGTGGAGAAATAGGAGTCCTTTTACACTGTTGGTGGGAGTGTAAATTAGTTCAACCATGTGGAAGGCAGTGTGGCAATTCCTCAAGGATCGAGAACCAGAAATACCATTTGACTCAGTATTTCCATTACTGGTATATACTCAATGGATTACAAATCATTCTGTTAAAATGACACATGCACACGTATGTTTCTTGCAGCACTGTTCACAATAGCAAAGATTTGGAACCAGCCCAAATGCCCACTGATGATACACTGGATCAAGAAAATGTGGCACACAAACGCCATGGAATACTATGCAGCCATAAAAAAGGATGAGTTCATGTCCTTTGCAAGGACATGGATTAAGCTGGAAACCCTCATTTTCAGCAAACTTACACAGAAAGAGAAAACCAAACACCACATGTTCTCACTCATAAGTGGGAGTTGAATAATGAGAACACAGGGACACAGGGAGGGGAACATCACACACTGAGGCCTGTCAAGGGGTGGAGGGATAGGGGAGGGATAACATTAGGAGAAATACCTAATGTAGATGATGGGTTGATGGGTGCAGCAAACCACCATAGCACATGTATACCCCTTTAACAAACCTGCACGTTCTGCACATGCATCCCAGAACTTAATGTATAATAAATAAATAAAATACAATAAATGTAATTCAGAAAAAAAATGTTCTTATAAAAAAGATTTCAGATAAATACGAGTTGTCTGTTTCTTTATGTTTTGGTATAACTCATAATTAAAGCCATTTAAGTTTTACTTTGTGTGCATGTGTGAATATGCATTTGATAGGTTTAAAAATAGTTACATAATCAGTGATGTAGTTTTTTCATTACTCTTGATAAAATATAACATCTAAATTATCTTCATTGACATTTTTACATTTGTTAGAAAACACTAGTTTTATTCTATTTTTCTACACTTTATTATAATGACTTCACTTTTTTTTCTTCATTGATGTTAACATGAGCTGATCTATTTTGTCAGTTTGCTCAAAAACAATCTATTGGTTTTGTTGATTATTCTTTATTTTCTATCTCATTGAATTTATACTTATCTATGCTGGTTGCATTCTATTTCTTTTTTCCTGTTTTTTTTTTTTTTTTTTTTTTTTTTTTTTTTAAATCGCAAATATTCTTTTCAGATTTCAGAATTTTCCCCTTACTTTAGTCCTTAGCCTTAGGTGACATCCTAGTAAATTTTAAATTTACTTACTTATTTATTTATTTTTGAGATGGAATTTCACTCTTGTTGCCCAGGCTGGAGTGCTATGGCTCAATCTCATCTCACTGCAGCCTTCACTTCCTGGGTTCAAGTGATTCTCCTGTCTCAGCCTCCCAAGTAGCTGGGATTAGAGAAACCTGACACCATGCCTTTTTAGTAGGGGCGGGGCTTCACCATGTTGTCCAGGCTGGTCTCAAAGTCCTGGCCTCAGGTGATCCACCTGCCTTGGCCTCCCAAAGTGCTGGAATTATAGGCGTGAGCTACCATACCTGGCCAAATTTATTTTTAACGGATTATTTTTTTTTTTAATCTTATGCTTTTGCTTAAGATAGAGGATATGAACGGTAGCACTCACCATCACATGATCTTGTTTCTAACATCTGCTCTGGGCACAGATGCTGATTCTCTAGTTCTTGTATAATGACCGCTCTGGATCGTACTTGTATTCCACCAAAGCCTAGATCCTCGCCATTCACACAGGTCAGCTGACACAGGCTCCAGGAAGACCAGTCCTTCAAATAACAGTCACCTGGAAAACAGAGGGTTATAATTTACACTCATATCCACAGAGAAATCCAGGCAGATATTCGTTTTAATTCCAACCCCACTGGGCAATGTTTTTAGGTATGCCAGTCATACATAACGTTTATAAGATTTAAATAAGCATTTAATATTTGTAAATTTATATGTATTTGTGCAACTTTCATAGATACTGTTATTTTCTGCATAGCTATTACTGGTCTATATGTTGCTTAATGATATGAAAGGTAAACTGTGGCAGACAGAAGCTCATCCACTATAATTCTTCCCTTCTTAGGATACAACAAACATTTGATCCAAACCTATCGTCACTCTTGTCATGATCATAGTCAAGTGGTTTATTACACGTAAGGTACACACAAAACCTAAATATAAACAGAATTTGTCTTCTAGATATTCACAATTTTCAAAAAGTTTGAAGTTCAAGACTGACAAAGCTGGCTTTATGTTTCATTTCTATTTCTTCCTAGAGGAGTGGCGGTGAGAGAGGCAATCAAGCTGTTGCAGTACTGGAAATAATGCTATTTCCTTTGATCCACATCTTAAAATCACTTCTCTTTAAAATATTTTTTAAAATAAACATGTAAAATGATCACATATCACAGATGTACAGATAGCTGAATTTCAACAATCTGATTATGTAACATGTGATCAACACCCCAATCAAGGAACAAAACATTCCCAGGATCTCAGAACGCTCCCAGGTGTGATATATGAAATCATACCGTATGTACTTTTTTTGTGTCTGTCTTCTGTCATTTATGTTTGTGAGATCCAGCATACATTTATGAAGTTCTAGTTTGTTCCTTCTTACTACTGTACTTTATTCCATTGTGTGAATATATCAGAGTTTAGATACCCATTCTACTATTGATGGGCATGTGGGGAGTTGTAAACTTTTCCTATCATTATTGCTGTGAACATTTTAGTACAAGTCTTTGGATGAACTTATATATGCATTTCTGTTGGGTATGTAACTAGGAGTGCATTGTTCATCCATGCTTCCAATATCTTAAGAACAGAAAAGATTTTATGAAATACGACCTTCCCATTAACCCATTCATTTTTCAGAATGACTGCTTAGTAATACTCTTCAGAGTACACAGTTAATTATGATAGACACAAATTCACAAGGGTTTCTTATCACTTATTTATTCTAGCCATGTCATATGAATAATTCATATTGCCTTATATTATGCTGAAGGTGACTGGTATTAGCACAAAGTTGCTTGGAGATGTGATTAATGGAAAAACTTCTTGTGTTGTGCCTAAGAAGTCCTGATAAGACATGAATTATTGACTAAAAGATATATACATAATAGTAAAATGGAGTGATTTTTGTAGACTTTTATTAAAAAGAATGTAATTGATACTCCTGAAGTACAGATGGTTCTAGTGAATTTTAGAAATGCAAAGGAAAAAACAACTAGAAAGAATTTCTAAGTAGTCTGAGAAAGTTTTAGAAAGACTTTTTTTCCTAGGAAATGTCACTTTGGGGTTACGCAGTTTTTAATGATACAGGAAAACAGCTAAAGTTTAAAAAAGTCATATCAATATGAAAGTAATATAATTTTACCTCAGTGATTGAAAATGACATGGAAAGAAAACATATCTTTTTACCAACAGGCTTTATCTCTGCGGCAGCCCACATTTAGCATCATTTATTTTGCAACAAAACTTAATAAATCTTTTAATGATACTCTGTGACTTATGTAATTATCTCCCCAAAGTAATACATGTCGGGCTTCAAAGATTTAATAACAGCAAATGAGAGTGAGATATTTTCTTGTTCTAAACACATTTTTCTATTTTGACCATGTAAACCATTGTAATAATAATAAAATTTCTCTATGCCTGCCAAAGATATGACAATTAAACACATGAAATGTACTTCCTAATTCAGTATTCGAGTCTTTAAGGCTTATTAGTACACATATTGCTAGCTTTCAAAACCCATCATTAGAAAAAACTAGCAAGAGAGGAACTGAAATGAATAGATTGTAATTTACAAGAGAAGAGCAGCCTCCTCCTAGATTTGCAATTACTTTAATTAAAACAATGTGTTTGTCCTGTTCTGTATTATCATGGGATCCTGTAATTTTCCTTCACATCATTTACCACAGATTATAATCTTATGTTTTTGTCACTATTAGATTAGCAATTGTTTCTTCCACTAGAAAGTAAGCTGTACAAGGACAGGGTCTGTTGGTCTTCACTGTATCTCTGGCCTCAAGGCCAAGGCCTGACCTGTAATTACATTTGGTAAGTAACAGTCGAATGAGTGGGTAATTCTCCTGCAGGAAGTATAATGAAACCATGTGGGGAGTGTCCACAGTAAGGCATACACCACTGTCTGACAAGGATGCCAGTTCTGCTCAATGGTGTGGATGTCATCACAATCCTATTATTGGTGCTGGAGATTTGGTTTTGGAACAGGTACGCCTTACAACTTTTAGCGTTGGTCACTTTATGTTGCCTCTATGGCCGTTCAGTACATCGAGGTCCAAAGGTTTAGTCCTTGACCCTGTCTGGAGGTGTCACCTGATGCCACAGCCTCAGGCTGGGTCTGCAGTGAAGCAAAGTGATTTTATTAAATGGAATTGTGTGTGAGATCTCAAATGATATCAGACCAGTTTCAGCGACAGGAAATGAAAGAAGGGAATTGCTGGATCCGCAAAAAGCTATTATTGGCAGGTATGGTATGGGAATGTCTGAACAGCAATACTTTGCCTGGCTTTAGGAAGTCAGGATTTCTTTTTCCTTTCTTGAGAGGAAGTCTCACTCTTGTCGCTCGGGCTAGAGTGCAATGGCGTGATGTTGGCTCACTGTAACCTCTGCTTCATGGATTCAAGTGATTCTCCTACCTCAGCCTCCTAAGTACCCTGGATTACGGGCATCCGCCACTATGCCTAGCTAATTTTTAGTAGAGATGGTGTTTCACCATGGTGGCCAGGCTCGTCTTGAACTCCTGACCTTGTGATTCCCCTGCCTCAGCCTCCCAAAGTCCTGGGATTACAGGTGTGAGCCACTGCGCCTGGACAAGAGTCAAATTTTCTTTTCTTTTACTTTTTTTTTACATTTTATTTTTTATTGTGATAAGACCATTTAATATGAGATCTACCCAGTTAACACATTTTTAAGTATACTACACAGTATTGTTAACTACAGGCACTATGTCTTACAACTGATCTCTAGAACATACTCACCTTGCAAAGCTGAAACTTTACACTCATTGAGAAGAAGCTGCTTTGCAGGGACTCAATCCCATTTATAAATTTTTATTAATATATGTTATTCACCTTAAAATTTTTCTTAAATCACATCCTTTTATCTAGAAAATGTTTTATGCTCCATTATCTTTCTGCCAAATCCTTAATTTTTTGAAGTCTTATTCACAAAAAATAGTTTAAAAGAGATACAATTTTTACATCATAATTATAAGCAAATTGGGAGAATATAAATTTTCTACTTGGGGATAAAATACAGGTAATTCATTTTCAATCTGCTCATTTCCAGTCCACTAATAAATTATTGCCCCTATATCTTTTTCAAGGATGGGTTTTCTGGCATATTTGGACATTAAATTTCCCCTACAATTCTCTGCATCAAGCCCAAAGTCGTAACTATTAGCTTATCACTGTCTGCCATTTTTCCTATACTGGTTGATACACAACCTTTTCTGCATGCACCCATTGTGTCTAACACTGAATCAGAACAGCATCTTTCAGAAGTTTCCTCCATACTGTTATTCTGTCTTCTAGTTGTAGATAATCTCCTTCTCACTGAAGACTTTACTAATTATTGTTCTATATTTTATGTTTTAACTACATTTATCTAGGTATGAGTTAGTTGTTGATTCCACCCTGAACCCAGTTTAAGCTCTTATTATGAGGACTTAATCTGTTTTTGGCCATTAAGTGTTTAAACACTGGTGTCTCTTTATTCTCTTCTGGAAATCCCAAATGGGTTATGTTTTATCCTTCTTTTCTCAACTTTTATTTCATACCTTTCCTGTGGAGCTTGGGCCTAAGGCCTTAATCTCCATCTCCTGCATATATTAAAACTCCAAGAGGGTGTTGAGAGAGGCCACATGGGAGGCGTGGACTTCATCCCTACCTGACAGTAATAAGGTAGTGCCCCTTTCCCCATGGGCATAGTGTTCAGCTGTTGGCATAGATATTGCCGAATAAGAAGACTCCTGATATCTTGTAACTTATACTTTATATGCAACCGCCATGGCCCTTGTCCTAGGAAATAATAATCAGACTATGAATTCGCTTTTGCTGTTGTTACCTGGGCAAGGCTGAGTGCAGGTTTCCTCCAGGACCATGTTTTTATTACCATCTATAATGAGTTCAATGTCAGCACAGAATTCCTCATCCACCACTTTGCTGAAATCATCCGCTGACCCATCACTTACTACACAAGAAATGTTCCTTGTTCTGGTCCCTTCTCCACACTGGGCCTCCTGGAATGGAGGAAGAAATAACTAATTAGAGAAAGAGAAATAATACTTCATTAGAGAGCTCATCACTTAGTCATCTCTGCACCATTGACTTTGATTTATGAAGATTTAGAGAAGCATTGGAAACCCTAGGGAAGAAGCCCTATAGGGCACTAGCAGTAAAGCATACTTTGAACAATTTATTTCTCTTCTAGCTAAAGGCAGGAAAATAAATTTTTATTAAAATGAAACAGTCTCCAAAGGATTTTAAAAGTACAGGGCAGGGAGTGTTTGCTTATCAAAACGAATTAATTGGTTATAAAATGCAAGGCACATAAAAATTTTAAGAAGCTTGTCATCTGTAAGCTATGAAAATATTTCTGAAACCAAGTCTCTGCAGATAAAGAGTACACACTTCCTTACAACTTCTTGACGATTTATACCTGCACTTGGCATGGAGACCACTGGCCATATTGCCACCGATAACAAGGCTTCACTGGGCAGGGTTTGGACTGGTCCATCAGGGAAGGGCATGGTCTTCCATCACCCTGAAAGGGCTGGGTCACTGTTCGTCTTCGGATCATTTTTCCTTTAAGACATACAAAGTGATGCAACTTTAATGATATGTTATGGTTTTGTAAGCATATATCTCATTGGGAGAAGGCATCACTGTGATATCTCCTGAGGATATCCAGGAGCAAGTAAGGCTTACATCTTTTGAAAAGAAAAACAACCAATTCAACCTTTCTGAAGATTATCTGACATGGCTTAAAGCCAGAAGGATATTATATTTCATACTCCTTGACCATTAGCCTAATATGAGTTACGGTACAAACAAACCTGTGAGGCCACATGTTTGAGAACATTCTGACCAAGAAGACCAATCAGAAAGCTGACAGTTCACAGGGCATTCCACCACGCAGGACGTGTTCATCTGCCAGTTCTTCTCCAGGCCCAGCTGGAAGAACAGAGCTAGATCAGTATGTATATTGTAAATCTGGGGAGGGAGTCAGAGAATGGGGAGACAAGAGAGAAGAGAGAAAGGGAGAAAAAGCAAGCCACATAACAGAATAAAATGGTACCTGGGGGACAAACATCCAAGTTATTAAAAGTATAAAGTGGTTGGACCCAGGAGAGTGGAAGTTAGGGGCACAGGATGAAGGAAGGGGCCCACTGACTCTATCCTTATGTATTCTTTGAGTATTTCCAATAAGTAATGAAAAAAAGTAGATTTAATCTCCAAATTGGTTGAGTTTCCCTAAATGGAGAATAAATAAATATAAGCATAAATACTTTGCATTAGCTAAACACCAATAACATCAGTATTTTGATCTACAATTGTATCTTAAAATTGTATTTATTTTTATGTATGTTAAACGGAAAAGCAAAAGGAAAATGTTCTAAACACAAAATGCTACTCAAAACTAATGCTTTCATGAATTGAAATAATATAAACTATCAGCTATATTTTTAATAAAGAAATATGGGTCACCAAAGTTTTTTTGATTATGAATATCTTATGTGAATTTTTTTTAAAACAAAGATTTTCACTTCTAAAACTTAACAACTAACTGTAGTATAATTCAGTTACTCTGGTGTCAAACCCTGTCATCAGATAATAATGTGCCATTTTGTTGGCATTTGGGTTCCATTACTGATCATTTAAATATTCTGCTTTAAAAATGTAAGATGAGGTTTCAAAGTCTTCTGCTGTACTTTCCAACATTTAAAACATCTAAGGTACAAAGTATCACTGAAATAAGAAAATGTCAGCTGGGTGCGGTGGCTCATGCCTGTAATCCCAGCACTTTGGGAGGTCTAGCTGGGCAGATCACCTGAGAACAGCCTGGCCAGCATAAGCATAACCGCTACTAAAAAAAGTTAAAAATAAAAAATAAGCTTGGAGTGGTGGTACATGACCATAGTCTCAGCTACTCGGGAGGCTGAGGCAGGAGAATTGCTTGAACCCAGGAGGTAGAGGTTGCAGTAAGCTTAGATAGCGGCACTGCAATCCAGTCTGGGCAAGAGAGTGGGCCTCTGCCTACAAATGAAAAAGAAATAGAAGAGCTTATTAGGTGAATATGAATTTTTAAAACTAGTAATTCTTGGAATTTCCAAGACCTTTTTTATTTCTGCATGAAAGAAAAGTTTATGTTTTCTAATTTATACAGCAGATAATGGCAAACCAGAGAAATTTTTTGAAACATGTTGTTTCAAGTATAGCTTTTAGCTCTAAGTTACCCATGGAGAGAGGATCAGATCAAAGCTTTGTGTAATATATCTCTCTGCAGGCACCCCCATTATATTCTATATGAGTAATACTTGACAAAGCTGAGTATTTAGTATGAAAACTTTCACCATATCACTCAACTGAAGCCTCATAAGCCTCTTAAAAGTCATGGGAGGTAGGAGATAGGAATCTTGAGGTGATATGATAAAAATAATATGTTACATTTAAAGTAAACAGTAATTTCATGGGGGGAGTTTGAATCATACAATTCAATTATTACTGACTTACATATCTACTACTTAGACATTTTAGTCCTGTACTACTTTTTTCCTTACATTGATTAGCTCTCTTTTAATTCTCTCTCTCATTTACCTAAATGTACGTGTCTAAATAAATTAAAGAAGAAATCTATTCAAAAATCTAAGAAATGGGAAAGACAAAACCAATTGCTGGGTATCCAATGAGTAAATGTCTGAAAAACACTAAAGATAAAAATACTACAGAAATGCTAGTTGGGTTTAACTCTAATTTTCCTCTTTGTTGGATAATAATGCCCTCTTTCTTTGTGGCTGTCAGGAAAGCAGCAAGTGTTATCTACTGCAGTGGCACTGAATGCAGGGTTGGCACAGGCAAATTTTAAGTCTTGAAGACAGTGTTTGCTAGAACGTTAAAACTGGAGTCCCTAATCGCCCTGAAGCATTCAAATATTATAATATTTGCATGTGAGCTTAATATGTAGACTCCCATATAATTAAAATTAGTTATTTCCCAGCTATTTACTCATATTTAAGAAATCAAGAATCCTGTTTACAGCTTTGTCCTTTAGTCATATGAAAGAGTTTAAAATTGGTCATGTATGCTTAGGTTTCAGCGCTCACAAAGCTCTGAGTTAGTTATTTTATATTTCATCCTACCAAGGAGAGCATTTATGTTTGCAAAAAGAGGATGCACTAATCAACTAGAAGTAAAGCTCTCCAGCCACTATATGGCTGTTATCTTCCTTAATACTGCTGCTGTTCGTATAATGGTTATATTGCTTCAATGTTGTTGGTTACAAATCCAAAATGATTCAAGTGTGAAATTTCCAATTATTCAAATGTAAATAATGAATAGATTAAGTTTTAAGGTTATAGCAGGAGGCATTTATTAACTAAACAAATTTGTGTTTTCAACACATGTGAGCATTCTGCTGTCATGCACAGGGATGTAAGAAAGTTAAGTTAGGTCTGCATGATGAGTATATCAAATGAATTAAAATATTTCTGTTTAGAATTTTCCCCTAGGTGTTGGAACAATTCACTGTGGGCTTATAATAACCCCAGGATGTGTAGACAGAAGACATGGTGACAGTGTATATTAAACTCTAATGAGGTTACAAACTCCTTCTCGGCTATTCCAGATTTATTAAGGCTCCCGCTTATCTTGGTTGGCATATGACCCAGGGACCTCAGATGCATGGAGAGTCAATATTTGTCATGTTTTCGGTATAGAAATCAGACAAAATTATTAAAACATGAAGTGTAGCTTCATAAAAACTAAGAACGGCCAATGTCTATGTGTTCTCACATTTCAGAAGCTCACATCTAGATATGATGACATTACTGTCATCAATCAGATAATTACCAGTTACAATTCTCTGTACCTAGAAGATAGTAATGACTGACTTCAATCCTTTGTTTGAATTTGAGGCTCTCAATCAGACCGGACTGCTTAGATACACACAGCTGGGTATTAGATCCTAATATCAAAATCTGCTAGGAAACCACATGTGATCAATGTTTAGTAACAAAGAGAATAAATGATGGACCTTGGCAGGTGTCCCAGGCACTACACAAAATCCACATCAAATTACCAAAGATGATATGTAGTCTGATTAAGATGTATTGCTTTTATTCACCTTGACTACTTACTATTCCCTAAGCATTTCTTTCAGAATAGGCTGATTACTAGGCTACCTTTGGGCACCAAGTAGAAGAAAATTCAGAAAATTGTATGTAGGAATCAGTAGTGTTAGGCATTGCGTCTTTTCAAGAACTTACTTAGCAGCCTGCGAATAGTGCAGAAAAACATCTGCTGGCAACGAGCTGCATGCAGCACGGGTCACTGGGCTCAGCATGCAGTGAAATTATTAGGGAAGAATTTACTCACAAAGATATAACACAGCATCCACCCACCTCTTCACAATATTTCAGGTCAACTGACTTGCCATCACTTCGAACACAATCCAACATCCTTGTTTTAATTCCGTTTCCACAAACTGCCTTCTCACTCAGCTGACATGTACTCCAGTCTGAAAAAATGAAGCCCATCAGAACAGAAGGCTCAGTATGAAACAGATTTTAAATGAAACTCTGATGACCCGAATCCCATATTTAATTCACAACTGCTTCCTAAGCCCCATAATCAATCATCCCCCATGCAGAGCATATGGGTCTCAGCTTTGAACATATCAGGAGTCAAATGGAATTGCTGGGGTTGCACATAGCTACAGGGTTTATTCTTAAAGGCAGATGTCTACTTGAAAATCTTGATAGCCGTTTAGTGACACTGTAAAAATGGCTTTGACCTGCAGATCAATGTCACTTAAAAACTTTTTTCCCAATAAAAGCATAATTTAAAATCTTTGCATTCTATTTTAGCAAAATAATCATAATTGTGACAGATGGTACTTTATGTAATTATATTCAAATAAAACATTATATATTTTACTTCTTGTCTATATTTATAATGCATAAAAATGCAAACATTTATTAGAGTGATAAAAATCACTTTGGCCGTACTTATTTCTCTTACATCTTTTGCAAAATTACTCTTTCATCTCTTTTTGCTGGGTAACATAGCACATCCCTGATAACTTTGATTTGTTTTGTATCATCAAAGGAAACTGAAGAGAAAAACTAAAAGAAACAAAAAGCCAGTGTGACCTTTAATGTGTCATTGTACAGTCTCCTGAGTTTGTTCAGAGTGAAAATTACTAGGGAAAAATTTCAAAGTAAGCTTTGGTGTTGTCTCCAATCTTATGAACTCTTTCCTAGAGTATGCATCTTGATGGTATTAAATGAGATTTACGGGGAAAATGCAAATAATAATAAACTGGTTTTTCTGAGAATACTCATCTATTTTTCTTTATCTGTACCTTTTATACCATTGATTTATAATCTTCGGTAAGTTTAAGATTGCTGACATTTTTGGATCAAACTAATCATGTTTATAAACTGCCCACACCTCAAGAATTGTTGCCTCAGTATGTTTTAAACAATTAAGCATCTTCTGAAAAAGACATTTTTGAGTAAATCTGATACCTGTGCCAAAAATATTTCTTTTAGAGTCACCTCCCCATAGTGAGAGGTTGTCTTACGTAGGAACAGTTAGCATATTCACAACCTATTTTAAGGGCTAATGTCTGTGAGACATTTTTATTTCCTCTATCTTAGTGTTTACTAAAAAAACAGATAAATATTTGTCATTTAATAAGTAATTCTTTCGGGGACAATAAGTAGCATGTCCAAAAGGCACACAGATAGAGATGAACTATGCTGACGGGAATCTTCAGAGCTAACAGGCATGGAATTTGGACTTAACTCTGTGATCAGATGACGCCCCATGTACCTGTTACATTATAATCATAGTGGTAGCAGTTTTTGTTCAGGTTACAGGGTTCCTGCTCAACAGCATCAGGGCAGGATCTTCCTTCATCAGCTGGTTGTCTGATGGGATCAGCTGACCTTTGCCGGAAACTGCTTTGATTGCAAGGCTTAAAAAGAACGTTACAAATTCTCAGAAAGGTGAATACTCAGCTAAACAACTCTTATATTACAGACAGCACTGGAGCAGGAGCACATTCACGCCACTGGCTAACTCTGACAAGTCAAACAACCTCATTATGCCTCAGTTGTTTACTGTGTAAAATGAAGGTGTTGAATGAGATTTTGCTAACACATCACCTCACATCTGTACAAATACACACACATGGTGGTCATATTAATTATTACAGAATGCGAATTATATCAAGTTCTATGTATATTATTATATAGATATATAATTATATGTTTGTGGATTATGTATAGTCTTTTGGACCTTAAAAAATGACATTTTAAGAATAACTTTAAATGACTAGGTCTTAGTAAGTTTTCTTTTCTTGATGCACACATATAAATGCACAAAAACAATTCTAAATTCTAATTTTAATTATTAATTTAGAACTGAAAAAAAAAAGTTCTAAGCCCTGTGGCTGACCAAATGGACCCCCTCTTGGCCATAGGGATCACAGAGAAACCTTGAAAACTCAGTTCTTGGCATTTAGGCTTTCTTCCTTGAGGGTTGTACAGAAACCAGACCTTTGGAAAAAGGCACTCCATACCTCATCAACCAATTGTCTTGAAACTGCCTTTGCAAAAATTATGACAGTAAGAAAATCATGGCAGTAAAAGAGATCTGCTCTAACCCACCCTCATCTTGCTTTTTCCTTAATTATTCCTGGGTTTGGGGGCTGAACTAACTTCAAGAAATATTTAGTTTATAGTTTAAATGATAACAGGCCTTTCTGCAAACTCAAGTGCCTTTGTAAAGCTACTGAAAGGCCATCGGGCTGGGAGAGGAGACGAATCTGGATTCTGCTAAGGTGTAGACATAGATGATTCCTAGCAACTCCTGGAGACAACACGACAACACCACTATCTTCGATTGGCCTTTTGAGATATCCTTTCAGGTTTTTTGCACATGTAACACCCAGGACTCTACCTGGACCTGCCAACCCAGTTCCTGTGGCCCCATCCAGAATTTAGCCCGCAGGAGGACAGCTTTGACCACCTTTGATTTCATCTCTGCCCCAGCCAATCAGCAGCAAGCACCCATTACGTGGCAGCCCCACCCCTTCCCTCAAACTGCCTTTGAAAAACCCCTACCTAGGAACCTTAGATGAGACTGATTTGAGTACTAACTCCATCTTCCATGTGGCATGGTTGGCCTCATGTCTATTAAACTCTTTCTTTACTGTAATACCCTGGTCTTTATTTGTGGAGCAGGCAGGAAGAACCCCTTGGGTGGTTACAGCCTGACCCTACCGCTCCCTTTTATGTTTGCAACCAACCAACCAACCAGCATTTCTTCCTAATCAGAAACCACTGATCATGGAGTGGTTCTGGGAAGTCCATGGAGGATGTGCAGTAAGGGTTTCTGTGACCTCTCTTTCACCTTTTGACATCAGAGCACTGAACACCCACCCTTGGATCATACTACTGCCACCATTTTTGGTACATGGGACATGTAAGGGGGGCATAAATCTCTATTGAACATGCATACTTTTCTGTTTATAAATATTCATGACTCCTCATATAACTTATTAAATAGGTATATTTGGCCACCCTGCTCAACACAAATTATTGTTCCCTTTGCCATTCCCTGGAAGTGTATTGTTTCGAGCTTCTGGTTGGCAGCTATCAGAGCGGCCACCTTGCAGGCTACAACCCTTTATGAGATGTAAAGCTCTCCTTTCCAAATTTATGACCTTGTCATTCTTCAGTTGACAATAATCTAAAAAGAGTGGCTTGCCAGTCATCTACTGGTACAGACTTCTGAAAACAATTGATTTCTAAGGACAGGAAGAAACCAGGAGCAAGCCTCCTTGGACTTTTTTTTTTTTTTTTTTTTTTTTGAGATGGAGTCTTGCTCTGTCACCAGGCTGGAGTGCAGTGGCACGATCTCGGCTCACTTCAACCTCCACCTCCCGGGTTCAAGCGATTCTCCTGCCTCAGCCTCCTGAGTAGCTGGGACTACAGGTTCACGCCACCATGCCCAGCTAATTTTTGTAATTTTAGTAGAGACGGTGTTTCACCATGTTGGCCAGGGTGGTCTCGATCTCTTGACCTCGTGATCCACCCGCCTTGGCCTCCCAAAGTGCTGGAATTACAGGCGTGAGCTACCATGTCTGGCCCACCTCCTTGGACTTTTTAAGGCCTAAAATAATTGCTTCCTCTTCTCCTACTTCCATTGCACTTTGGTCACACCACTGGAATAACACTGTCTTGGTATAATGTGTATTACATAAAGGTCTTGTTCCTTTCTACAGTGCACTAGGAGAAGACTTACGTTTTAGATATCTGTATATTCTCCCTACCTAACACAGTTCCTGATAGACAGTAAAAGCTTAATCTGTATCTGTTTAATGAAGGCCTGAGAAGAAACAAGGTGAGTTAAAGGTAAAATATGTCAAATTAAATTTAGGCTAACGTTGCCTCCTTACATAATTTATGTTCATCCTAAAGATTTCTTCATACATAGTTAACTGTACCCTATTCGGATGTGTAAACAGATTATAACCTGCTCTTGTGCAATCACCGAGTTTCAGACAGACGTAGCCTATTGTTCAAATCGTGATCAAATATGACAAATGTAAAGGAAAATTTAAAAAAGATCTCAGGATCTCAAACTCCCTATGCAAAAGGAAAGGGTAAGTCTGGAGGCCATCTTGCAACACTCTCCCAAATGAATAGCTATTGCGAGCATTATGCCAGATTGCCACGGAAAGGTAAAAGGCCTCAGGCATCTGTGGATAACTCTCCCATAGAACATTCACAGGTAAATTCCTTTATGGCCTACCACAATAAAAGAGCATAACAACAGTAACTTTAGGTCTACAGTCTAACTCCTAAAACTGAAGTCTGATTCCACACTGACACTAACAATTGCAAGCTTATTTTCTCAGGTTCAGAATAAAACCATTCTTTGATCTACCCGGAGATGTCTGCATAATTGATCCTTCCTCTATTTCCCTTTTCTCTTTAAACATTCCCCTTATCGTATGTAAAATGTAGGTTTATTAGGCATTAACTAATGTGTCACAGGAATATAACTATTTGCAGTAATGCCTACCTGCCTCTCTTCCTACTTGCCTTCCCACATTTAAGGGAATGTCTAAACATAAAACCTCCTGAACACCTCTTCTGAAAACCTTGTTGCTTTTCCCCAGATGTGTCCTAGAGCTGGTTTATTAAACCTTGATTGATTGGGACTTTGCCTCACTCATTTTGGTTGTCACACGCGTCGAGCCGTAACCAGTCTAGCTGTTTCTGAACCTCACTTCTGTCCCCTGTACATCATTTTCTGTAGGTCACTTATCTTCTTCTGCCCAAGAAACTTTTTCAACCACGTGGCAGTGCCAAAGTCTCTCTGAACCTGTTCTGGTTTGGGAGGTGGCTCAATTTCTGAATGGTTCTTTGCTCAATTAAACTCTGTTAAATTTAATTTTTCTAAGGTGTTTCTTTAAAGAAATGTAAAGCCTGGGAAGCACGGTCTATTCACCTCATTGAATTTTATTCTTATCCAAACATTCTTATTGGCAAACTCTCAAGAACACAAAATATGCTTCACCAACTCTTATATATATAAAATAGAGCCTCCATCATTCTTCTAAGATGACTATCCTTGGTCATTTAATACAGAAACCTAATGGACAAAGTTCCAGTTTAGTGGTTCCTTTTATTAGAACCCCTACTAATAAGTTTAAGAAGAGGCCTGGGTTTTATATTTCCTACTGTATAAAAATGAAATCTTTTTTATTACCTGACAGTAAAAAGTCTATTATAAACATAGACAATGTAGCATGCAGCCCAGTGACTTGATGGAACTTCAAATCTGATGCTATGAAATTAGAACTGAAAATTAATTATATACCCTTGTGAAACAGTTGATTCTTTACTACAATTTAATTTGCATTAAAGTCAACTGCCATCTTTGTTTTACTCTGGCTATATCAGTTTTCTGCCAATCAGTATCTTTAACACTGAAATGGAGTATCCGTTTCTATTTGGAAAATATGCACCATAAACTCTTCTTTGAAGCCGGTTTATATTGTATTTCAATAAAATAATTCCATATTACTTATTTTTCTCATGCTTTTGATGCTGTTTTTGAAATGTACAGTTTTACAGAGATGCCCATGGGTAAGCCAAATGTCCTACGTAAGCAGCCAGTTGTTTCAAATGACTCTCTTCCCAGAGTCTTGTGGATGAGCCCCTACTGGCTGTTGAAACATAGAAGCTTTGTGTGATTTGAAACTCTCAGCTGGCTTTCCAGGCCCAAAGAGACACAGAGCCAGTGTGTAAAGAGAGAGTCACTGATGCACAGCTTTCTTCTTTCTACTTAGCTTCTTACCCAGGTATCTTGCTTTTTAGTGTTAATACCCCTGCTGCTGTGTTCCCACAGAGTGAGAGATTATTCCTACCATTTAAATAAAAGGTACTGGGCAAAAAGCAATGGATGACAATAACTTGACGCCATTAAAGTACCTTTACTTCATTCATTTTCCCCTTTACCTGGAGGGAATCATTATCACCACTGTAGTTTTTAACATGCTGTGTATTTTTCAGGCAAACTGAAGGCTTTTTGTGCCGGGTTAGGATGATGGGTTGAGTAAGGCTTGCAAGAAGTGGAGCCGTTCTAGTGTGAGAGGAAAGAGTATAGACTTTAAGTAGCACAGTCGTACAATGAAGTGACCAAGAAAACACACCTTGCTTTGGTAAATATGGCCCAAAACCAGATTCTACATTGAAATTACTATATTTTTAAAATAATGTCTTTAAAGCTTTACTGGCAAGGAATTAAATAAACTCTGCACTAATAAAAAGACTAATCATCTCACCAATACACATCGGGTCCATGGACCCCATTCGGATATCACGCAGTCCTCGGGGCATGGTAATTTGCACTCTCTAGAGCCCAGAGGCATCTCTTCTGGGTCACAGAGGTAATCCTCTACATGTTCAGAAGGGCCATCTGCTGTATTCTGCATGCATCTAGAAAAGAACATAAACAGATTCTAGAAAATACCCATATTTTCTAGAAGAGAAGAAAACATGACAGTTAGAATAATGACCAACCCACAGGACAGATGGTTCTCCTTAAGACATTGTTATGGGGGTGGGGAGTAGGAAGCTTTGTTATCTAATAAGTAAAATTCTCCAAAAAAGAAAACAGGATCTTTGCCTCTCCTAATTATCTGTAGTGCTTCTGCATGATTCAAAAATGTATGTTTGCATTCATGAGTCTTTGAATGTAAGAGCCACAGTGGGTATGTAAACTGTGCATGTTAGGTGAGCTTCCTCAGAAAGAAGAGGGTTATTTATACACATATGAAGCAGAAGGTACTGAGGAATTCTTCAGAGAACTTCATAGAGAGCTTATAATTAGGAATATGATACATTTATTCTTCCCAAGAAAATGATGGATTCCACAGAGAAGGTAGAATTAGTTGATTCATATGTGATGAAAGACCAGGCACACTGAAATCTCTAAGTGGGCAATTCCTTTAAGTGTTCTTGAAAATAACTAGAGGCATTTATCAGTTTGTTTTGCCATCTTAGAAGTAATTTTAGCCTCCCTTCTGCTGTGACTCTTAAAGTGACAAGCAAAAAGACAATTATAATTGGTATAGAACAGGTTCTCTAAATATGGTTATTTGGATTTTTCTACTACTTAAAAAATTGTTAGTTTGTGTTCCATTTTATTCTCTTGTAAGCCGTGAGGAAGGCCTCTTTATTCATCTTTTGGGAATCTTATTAATGTGGTTAGTATGAGACTTCACTTTTACCATAGTAAGTAATCTCTCTGGGCAATTTTAAGTATTACAGTAGGAGAGAAATCCCTTTATCTTTCATGTATAACTTAGAAAAGATCAGCTACCTTAATAGATTTAGAAAGAGAACTGCATTTGAGGAGGTGAAAAGGAAGGCTTGACTCTCAAGTTTCTCAAACCTAGTGTAATGTTTTAAAATATCAGTTGAATTATATTGCCAGTGATACCTGGAATCCCAACTTTTCTCTGTGCTGTTGGTCACGTCTTAATCGGACTTGTAGCCTGAAAAAATACCCAAAAAATGCATACCTACCTATGCATTTTTTGTATGCTGGATAAATATGTAAAAAGCAATCCCAAAAATATGCAAATTTGATATTGATACAATTTCATTGTTGAAAGAATAAATCACATTATGAATATTTTTAGGATAATTTTAGTTTCCCAGGAAAAAATTCTACCTTCAATATCATTTAAAAAATATTCTGTTGACAGCAGGTTAGAGACAATATGTTGCAGACAGGGCATTTCAGTGCTCAAAGGTTGGATTTGCTCCTAAGAATAGATTATACTTGCGGTAGGTACTGTCACTATATATAAGGATTAACTTGTAGAATTACCTATTGATCCAGAGTTAAGAACCGATATCTAACACTCTATTCAGCAGTTATGTACATAAATATCCTCAAAGATTTCTCTTGATATGATTTGGATCTGTGTCTCCACCCAAATCTCATGTTGAATTGGAATTCTCAGTGTTGGGGGACAGGCCTCCAACACTGAGATCACTAGATCATGGGGCAGATGGTCCCCTTTCTGTTCTCGTGACAGTGAGTGAGTTATCAGGAGATCTGATGGTTTAAAAGTGTGCATCACTTCTCCTTTTGCTCTTCCTCTCTCTTGCCACCATGAGAAGATGTGCTTGCCTTCCCTTTGCCCTTACGCCATGATTGTTAAGTCTTCTGATGCCTCCCCAGAAACAGAAGCCCATACGATCCACAGCACCATGAGCTAATTAAACCTGTTTTCTTTATAAATTACCCCATCTTGGGTAGTTCTTTAATAGCAGTGTGAAAACGAATACAGAAAATTGGTACAAGAGAAGTGAGGCATTGCTACAAAGATACCTGAAAAAGTGGAAACAGCTATGGAACTGGGTAATGGGCAGAGGTCGGAACAGTTTGTAGGGATCAGAAGAAGACAGGAAGATGAGGGAAAGTTTGGACCTTCCTGAAGACTTGATGAATGATTGTGACCAAAATGCTGATAGAAATATGGATGGTAAAATCCAGACTGAGGTGTTCTCAGAGGGAGATGAGGGACTTATTGGAAAGTGAAGTAAAGCTCACTTTTGCTATACTTCAGCAAAGAGATGGGTGGCATTGTGCCTGTACTCAGGAGATCTGTGGAATCTGAACGAGAGAGAGAGAGAATTTAGGGTATTTGGTGGAAGAAATTTCTAAGCAGCAAAGCCTTCAAGATATGACCTGGTTGCTTCTAAAAGTGTACGCTCATTCGCATAAACAGAGAAATGACCCCAAACTGGAACTTATATTTCAAAGGGAAGCAGGGCATAAAAGTTTAGAAAATTTGCAGCCCAGCCATGTGGTAGAAAAGAAAACCCCATTTTCTGGGAAGGAATTCAAACCAGATGCAGAAATTTGCATAAGTAAAAAAGAGCCAAGTGTCAGTAGCCAAGACAATGGGGAAAATGCCCCCAAGATGTTAAAGACACCTTCATGGCAGCCACTCCCATCACAGGCCCAGAGGCCTAGGAGGGAAAATTGGTTTTGTGGGACAGGCTCATGGCTCCACTACTCTGTGCAGCCTCAGGACGTGGCGCCCTACAACTCAGCCTCTCCAGCTCCAGCCATGGCTAAAAGGAGCCAATGTACAGTTCAGGTTGTTGGTTTAGAGAGTACAACTCCCAAGCCTTTGTGGCTTCTACATGGCATTGGGCCTATGGGTTTACAGAAGGTAAGAAAGAGTTCAGGCTTGGGAGTCTCCACCTGGATTTTAGAGGATGTATGGAAATGGACTGGATGTCCTAGCAGAAGTCTGCTGCAGGGTGGAGCCTTCAGTACTAGGCCAGTGTGAGGTAGAATTGTGGGGTTGGACCCCCTCCATACAATGCCCCCTGGGGCACTGCCTAGTGAATCTGTGGAAGTAGGGCCACCGTCTTCCAGACCTAAGAATGACAGATCCCCTGACAGCTTGCACTGTGCACCTGGGAAAGCTACAGACACTAAATGCCAGCCCATGAAGGCAGCCTTGGGGACCATACCCTGCAGAGGCACAGGGGTCAAGCTGCCCAGAACCTTGGGAATCCCTGCTCTTGTGTCATGGTGACCTGGATGTGAAACATGGAGTCAAAGGAGATAATTTTGGGGCTTTAAAATTTAATGACTGATCTGCTGGGTTTTGGACTTGCATGGGGTCTGTAGCCTCTTTGTTTTGGCCAATTTCTTGCATATAGAATGGGAGAATTGTATCTTGGAAGTAACTAACTTGTTTTTGATTTACAGGTTCATAGGCAGAAGGGACCTGCCTTGTCTAAGATAAGATTTTGGATTTGGATTTTGGAGTTAATACTAGAATGAGTTAAGGCTTTGGGGGACTGTTGGGAGGCATGGTTGTGTTTTGAAATGTGAGTAGTAGATGAGATTTGGGAGGGTCCAAGGTGGAGTGATATGGTTTGGCTCCGTATCCCCACCCAAATCTCATGTTAAATTGTAATTCCCAAAGTTGAGGGAAGGACCTGGTGAAAAGTGATTGGATCATAGGGCAGATTTTCCCTTTGCTGGTCTCATGATAGTGAGTTCTCGAGATTTGCCACTATTTTTATATTTATTTATGAGGCAGAATCTCTCTCTGTTGCCCAGGCTGGAGTGTAGTGGCATGATCTCGGCTCACTGCAACCTCCGACTCCTGAGTTCAAGTGATTGTCCTGCTTCAGCCTCCTGAGTAGCTTGGACTACAGGCTCATGCCACCACACCCAGCTAATTTTTTTTATTTTTTTATTTTTAGTAGAGACAGGGTTTCACTATGTTAGCCAGGATGGTCAATCTCTTGACCTCGTGATCCATCTGCCACACCCTCCCAAAGTGTTGGCATGAGCCATCACACCTGGTCAAACCTCTTTTCTTTATAAATTACCCAGTCTTAGGTAGTTCTGTATAGGACTGTGAGAACAGATTAATACATCTCTCTTCTTTTTATTTTTTGTTATACAAGTAATATATTCCTTTTTAGAAATCAGAAGTAATCAAAATTTCCATAGTTTCATCAGTTAGCCTACTCTTGACAGATATTTATTTATTAATAGACTATTACTTTAAATGTATATTTTCATTTTACAAAATGGAAGCAAACTTTTTGTTTCTACCATTTAAAAAATCTACACTGTATTATGAACATCTTCTCATCAACTATTTTTCTAAGACATATTTTAATGCCTGCATTTGAATTCCATGGCTTAAATGTGCCACAATTGCTAAAAAGTCCCTAGTGTGAGGGCTGCTATCCAGAATCTACAGAGAACTTAAACAAATTTACAAGAAAAAGCAACCAACCTCATCAAAAAGTGGGCAAAGGATATGAATAGACACTTTTCAAACGAGGACATTTATGCAGCCAACAAACATATGAAAAAAAAAAAAAGCTCATTATCACTGGTCATCAGAGAAATGCAAATCAAAACCACATTGAGATACCACCTCATGCCAGTTAGAATAGCGATCATTAAAAATCAGGAAATAACAGATGCTGGAGAGGATACGGAGAAATAGGAATGCTTTTACACTGTTGGTGGGAGTGTAAACTAAGTCGACCATTGTGGAAGACAGTGTGGTAATTCCTCAAGGATCTAGAAATAGAAATACCATTAAACATAGGAATCCCATTACTGGGTATATACACAAAGGATTATAAATCATTCTACTTTGAAGACACATGCACAAGTACGTTTATTGCGGCACTGTTTACAATAGCAAAGACTTGGAACCAACCCAAATGCCCATCAATGATAGATTGGATCAAGAAAATGTGGTACATATACTCCATGGAATACTATGCAGCCATAAAAAAGGATGAGTTCATGTCCTTTGCAGGGACATGGATGAAGCTGGAAACCATCATTCTCAGCAAACTGACACAAGAACAGAAAACCAAACACCACATGTTCTCACTCAAAGTGGGTGTTGAAAAATGAGAACACATGGACACAGAGAGAGGAACATCACACACTGGGGCCTGGGAGGTGGAGGACTGGGGAAAGAATAGCAGCAGGTGGAGGGATCGGAGACGGATAGCATTAGGAGACGTACCTAATGGCAGCAAACCACCACCATGGCATGTGTAAACCTATGTAACAAACCTGCATGTCTGCACATGTGCTCCAGAACGTAAGGTATAATTAAAAAAAAAGTTCTTAAGAGAAAAAAATGCACAAAGAAGTCCTAGGCTGAAAGTTTTCTCATATAAAAATATAAACTCTTCACTGACATACAGAGACTAAAATTATCTTATGTGCAAGCATTGTATTTGATATTAAAAAATTCAATAAAATTACATTTAGTAAATCATCAAATAAAGTTTCTATTGTGGCATTTAGACTACTTATAGGCTTTATTTGTGTTACTTTGTATTAGACATTTTTATAATCACCCTAGAATACAGAATAAATATTTGGATCAAGCTTTGAGCACAAAGGAAGGTGCTTTAAATTCCTTTGCTTTCTTCAAATTCTTGGCCTTTCTCCTTTCTAAGGAGCAAGAATTATGCTGTGAGAAAACTGACTTGTATTAGAGATACATGGTGTAGAACCAAGTTGTAGGTAAACGGTGGAATCAGAGGCCCATCATAGGTGTGGTAATGTGGTATTTTCTGCATATATTTAAAAAGCAACAATAACTAAATCTCTCTGCTTTCTATTATCACCATGTACTGGCAATTCTAAATAAAGTCATGGAAAAAAACCCCTCCCTACTAAGGCAAACCACTTCTACCACCACTCCTTGATAGGCCATAGCAACCTTAAAGAGGAGGAGTATAACTGAATAAATTTAAACCTGCTTTTTTATAGACCCATCTATCCTAAATGTCACCCAGCGCTTGCATTGAAGCAGGACATTTTGACCTTCATTAGCAGAGGATAATGTACGGGAGGTGTACTACTCAATCAGTAACAAAGAGGAACATCATTACATGATTAGAGATTGCAATCAATACTGACCTCTTTTCTCTATTTGCATTGAAGTTGTTTACTGAAAAAATAAATTGATCTGAAAAGTTACTTTGCTTAGAATGTGTTTGAAAATGATGAGAGTATCTGTTTCCAAAGCAAAAAAAAAAAAAAAAAAAAAAAAAAAAGTAACATGTCCACAGATAGTTGAAGGGAAAGCTGAGAAAAACAACCCAGTAGTTATTTTACTGTACTTTTTTTTTTTTCTAACTAAACAACCAACCTGACCAAATTCTTAATGTAATATTTTTTAATTTTGAAGAAGAAATTACTTTGAAAGGAGAATAGTGGAAAACAGAATCTCTTGTTTTTTTCTGTGTGTCTATCTACTCATTACTTCCCTCCTCCTTCCCTATTCCCAATCCACCTATATTGAGATCCTGAGGGCAATAAATTGAGAGTTCAGATGTGCTTTTGAAAAAATAGAAAACTTTTTTTATTAGAAACAAAGTTATACATAGGTGTATATGCAAAAGTTTTATATGGTAAAACAAATAGCAACTTGTTCTGCTTTCTAACCGAAGTATATTAAAAATTGTCAATCTAAAACGCATGAAAGTTTACGTTATGGGTAAGAATGAACTTCTTCATAACATGGGTTGTCAGGTTTCACATTTGTCTTTCTGGGTGTCACTGAGAAGGGTTAAAAGAAACCAGTGTTTTTAAAAAGAGTGATAGGAGACTTGGGTTTGAATGCCAATGCTGCCACTTTACTAGATGGGTGTTCTTGGTATATTATTTAGTATTTGGGAATATAATCTATAAAATGGAGGTGATGAAATCTCACGTACTTGTTTCACAGAGTTCTAGAGCCCTTAAGCGTCACGTGATAGATGCTGTATGGAAAATTTAGTGAGTATCAATACTGTGTTAGGCAGTAGAGAAATCCTAGGAATATGATGGGGTCTCTGTTTTAAGAAATTTATAAAGTTTTATTAAGGGGATAGACATGCAACTGTGTCTTTTCAACACAGTGAGGGGTATATGGGGTGTTATAGGACAACCCTGTCCAATGAAACTTTCTGCCATGACAAAAATACTATGTCTGTGCTGTCCAACAGATAGCTGCCATCCACAGGCAGCTGTGGAGCACTGAAGTATGGCTAGCATGACTGGGGAGAGGCATTTTTAAATTAATTTAATCTAAATGTATTTAAATTTAAATTGAGCTAGTGTGGCTAGTGGCTATCCTATTTGAACATTGCAGCTACAGAAGAACAAGTGACAGGCAGAAAGCAGCTGCGGGTTTCAGAGAAAGTTCCCTGGATAAGAGGAGAATATTCAGGTAGCCAGTTTGATACAAAAGAGCAAGAGTTTAAAACAGATTATTTTAAAAATGACCTTGGAAATATATTTGGCCTTTAAGCAAAAAAGTTAGTGGGGTTGAAAATTTGCATTAGTTCAGATCGAATGTGCTGTTCCTTGTCTTTAAGGGTATTTGAAGTGCAGATTTCTAAATCAGAAGGCCAGAATGTAATGAACTGCTGCGTGAAGCAGATCCTCTTAGTTTTCCATGAGCACAGATTCCCTAAAAGCAAAACCACGGACTATTTCATCCGGAATCCTGGGGAGGACTGAACGGTCATTTCAGCACGTGTGCAATTGGGAGATGGTTTTGTGTCTTGCCTCTCTGTGTAAAGAGGCTTTGCCTTACCTCACTTTTCGGGTCTGCACGCCCTCTCCACAGTTCTCCCGCATATTCACAAAGGTCACCTTGCAGATGCTCCAGGGCTCTGTGACCCACAGGTACTGGCTGCAGTCACTGTGGCATGGAACAACCTCATACACCTGAAACACACATGGTTCGCAGCAATCTCAGGGAATCTGATGAGAGGGAGTGGGAGGACGTCCACACCATAACAACAATCATTTCACAGTTAAGCTACTTTCTTTCCCCTCCTTTATTGCTTATTATTCTAACGTAGCCATAGAGAGAACGCAAGAGTTCTAGCAGTAGAGGACAGGGCTAAACGTGTTGTACTCTGCTGCTCTGCTATGACATTGCAGGTCTAAATCTGATCCACTGGATCACATTAGATGTTACGCATTTTCCTGTGCTGACCCTTAACACACTGCATTGTAATTTTCTGGACTGTCTGTCTCATTTACACTTTTGTGTGTCTTCAATACTAGCCCAGGGTGCTCACGGGTTAGGCATTCAACAGGGATTTGCTGAATGAATGAATGAAAGATGACTTGATGAACTAAATAAGTATACAAACATAGCTTTTCTCCAAATAAATATAATTTGGCCTATTTTCCAGATAAATATATATAATGATGAGAATTTACATTTTTTGGTGTGTATCATATGAGAAACTAAATTAAAAAGATAATATGAAATAAAGCCATCTTAACACTAATCCTCAATCTTTTAAGGCTTAGAAACAGAGTCTGGTCTACAACCCTAAGCAGCAAGGGCCACATGAAACAAAGCAAATTGTCTCTGTTCCAGTGTCCATAAAGGCTTTTAGTCCCACATTTGGGGTGGTGTGCTTGGTTTCAGGGTTTTTAGTACAATGAACCAACTATATTCTATTTTTCAATGAGAAGAACAACTAAATAAAGGAAATAAATGGCACTTAATCAAGAGCAACCAAGCTGACTCAACCATTAAATTCTTTGAAAGTAGTTTTCTAATCTATGATACTCCAACTCTATTTCTTATTTTACACACACACACACACACACACACACACACACACACTCTCTCTCTCTCTCTCTCTCTCTCTCTCTTTCTCTCTCTCACATGCCCAGAGAGAGAGCAAGACGGAGACAGAAAGAGAGAGAAACTACAGCATAAATATGTTTTATGAAATGAATTCTAGAAAAGATAGATTTAAATAGCCCTTTGGAGCCATTCTTTTGTGCCAATTTTAGTGAACTAAAAACCCAAGTAAAATGAATAAAGCTGACTTGTTTTAAATAGGAATAATACATGCACTGATGGAGTCAAAGTCTACGATTGCCTTAAGTTGATTACATTCACACTTAGGTGCTGTATTAAAATAGAACTAAATAGCACAGGATAAAACACTATCCTACAACTCATGATGAAGAGAAAAGCCAAAGGAGAAAACACAGTTCTTCCTAATCCTTTGAGGGCTTTTATTTAATCTCCTGTATTGAAGTGAATACCAATCACTTCAGAACAATCTCCAATCCACCCATTTTCCATCTACTTGCACCATTTCCTTCTCCCTCTGAAGAGCGCAAGACCATTAATAATGGGTGTCACTGCCAGTCAAGGTTAGTGGAATAAAACTTTTTCTCCCCAACTCTTGTTCACCTCAGTTTTCGATATTACAATGAAGGATATGAAAATGAAGGAACACATAGAAAATAAAAAGGAAACAGGTACAGACAAAAAATCTTTAATGGAAAATGTGGTATTTCCTCCCTGTAAAACATACAAGACAAGGCAAGAAGAGAAATGCATTCTCAGAAATCAGAATTTTTTAAACAGACGCATTCTATCAAGAACCATGAGGTTTAAGAGTTCTTACCTGTGCCTGCAGTGACGTTCAACAGGAACGATGAAACGGGAGAAAAAGAAGACAGATGAAAATGTCAGTTTGTTATGAGAAGAACTCTTGGTAAGTTTCAAGTATTATTACGTACATGTAAAACCTACTTTTTGGGTAAAATATTAGAACATTTTTCTTAGGTATTAGGAAGTAATATATAACTACTTATTATTGTTGAAAACTAAGATGCGCAAATTAGTATTGTGAATAGCACAATGAGAAAATTAGATGGGAAGGATGAAGAAATCTTAGAAAACTGAGTTGACCTCAAAATGCATCGCGTGGGTATTTGATATATGATACAGATAACTTGTGATCCACCTTGTCAGTGGGCTACTGTCTATATTTATAGATTGATCTACCCATTGATTTACGTTAATCAATTTATATGTTTTGTAGAAAATGAGGATTTGAGGACTTCCTTCCTCGGCTAGAAAAATAGAAACTCAGAGACCATTTTCAAGCCAACGGGCTTCTGATTATTTTACTGAGGAATGTATAATTGTAGTAAACCTCTAGGTGACTCATAATTTTCAACATTAACACAAAACTATACATCATCTTTATTTTCCCTAAGTATCTTACTAATTCACAAACTCACAGAAGTTTCTATTTTTTACAAAACATTTATGCTCAAACGTTAAAAACTTTTATGAGTTTTAGATTTGATTTTTCAGTTGTTAATGTCTCAAAAAACTTTCAGTAAACTGATACTAAGTCACAATACCGCTATTACACTGCATCGGAATATATCGGTGTTGAAGAGCGACAGAGAAATGGCAAGGAATAAACACTAGGAACAGCAAAGACAACTTGGCCTAAGGTCTTGAACCTTTGGCAACTTACCCTTAAGGAAAATCTGAGGAAACACAGCTGATTTTAATTGCATATCTGACTGGGTATACACCTACAGGCTAAAGTCAAGTAGCTATGATATGTGTAGAAGTTCTCTTTGTTAGGATTGTGAATCATACATAACTTATTAAAATTTAAATTTGCTATGGAATATTCAAGGTTTCAAAATTTGTAGAGAAATATGCTTTTGTATGGTGAACATTTCAGTTCAGTTATTCTGTTTTACAGTTATATAATCAGAGTTGTGGAACTGATTTTTCTTCTTTGGAAATTTCCGTAGCATCTTAGAAATGCAAAAGGCTGTGTGACAGGGAGGCTAACCTACCAGTAGATGGCAGCAAGGGAGTGTATTATTTACCCTCCCTTGCACCTAAAGTCAGCAACTTTAGTTGGGGAACAATCAAGACTCTTTAGAGTACTTTTTTTTTTTTTTTGGATTGCAGCCATTTATTGAAATTGGAGACATTTTTTAATCTTCTTGAGACTCCATATCAGGCTGTCTACAAAGTCCACTGGGAGTCCGAGGATCATTTGAGCCCAGGAGTTTGAGGCTGTGGTGAGCCTCAAAGGGCCACCGCACTACAGCCTGGGTGAGGAAAGACCCTGTCTCAGTAAATAAAAAGACAACTTTTAGCCACATTTCCAGACTTCAATTAAAATGAGAGTACTTTTTATAGAATTTAATTTGTCGTGACCGTCACCTTAATTTACTTAATGCCAAAGTTCTTTCTGTTTTCTCTACAATGTACTTTTATTATGAAGACAGCTATGTTAATCTGGGAAGGAAAGTATGTATACCCATGAGCAGTGTGTTTCGAGATTAAAATTAGTGTATGTATGTATGAAACAACTCTACATATTTAAGGACTTGATTCATTTGGTTGTGATTTAAATTCAAATACGAAATTTAACACCCACACATAATGTATAAAATTATTCTTTGTTAATTCACATGTAGGCAAAACATGGTCATAACCGTCTGATAATGTTACATTTCATTTAAATTAGTCACACTTCCTGCATTAGGCTTTTTTACTATTCATCTCTAACAGAACAGAAAAACAACTAGTAACAGCAGGTCACAAAGAATGCATCATTCAGAGTTGCAAATGAAACTGAAAATGGTCAATGACTAAATTGCCAGCATACTTACAGTGACTTTGAAGCCATCTTTGTATTTCTTTTTCTCAATTTGTTTTACATCAAACACATTTAAACAAACGGTATATATTTTTCCTAATTTTAGACCCAAATCCATATTATTTCTTTGATCTTAATTTAAGTAGTTGGTAATTGAGATGTCTTTTCTGACAGTCTGGGGAAACTTTAAGAATGAGATAGTCTCGGCCTACGTGTTAAGATACAATTTTATGACAGATTGAATACCTTGACATTATTTCAAAGATAAGTGTCATTGTTCTCTCCATTGAATTATATACATTCTCATATACTTGCAGGGTATGGAATCTCCAGAGAATACAGAGATTATGTCTAATTTGGGATTTTAATAACATACATGCATTTACTGAGGCATTCTAATGGTAAAAATGGATCAGATTTCTTATTCAGTAGCTATTATTTACTCTTCTATTATTTAACTGGTAAAAATGGGTCAGATTTCTTATTCAATAGCTATTATTTCCTCTGATTTTGGGGAAAAAAATCAGATCATTGTGAATCTAAACAATACCTTCACACTCTGAATGACAGAAAATACCTGGTTGACGTGGTCTAGTTTGGGGCAAGGCCTTCCTCCATTATATGGTTTTTCTCTCAGCCATTTAGAGCGAACCTTCACACCACTCCCACAGGACTTGCTGCAGCGCGACCAGTTGGACCATTCACTAAGCTTGCAGTCTGAGGGGCAGGGGATGATGCAGGCCTCTTCAATGTAACCTGAGTGGAAGAAAACGAGACAACAATCATCTCCTCCACTTGTCACTCTCCCACTACCACCCACTCTTCTAGCTCATTTAAAAGGTCCAAGGCTGACTTGACAGCAGCATGCAAATGCAGAGGTGTCTCCGTTGTTAGGGACTCAAATTAAATTCTGTAGGAAAATGACACGTACATACAGCGACTACGTTAAAATAACAGCTGAGTAGCTGCCACGTGATCTGCTTAGGATTCACGCTCACCATATTTCAACATTTCCGACTTTCTGACAGCTCGTGTTTAATTGACAATAACCTGTCTGCTGCCATATCATTCTCACGCTGACAGAACGATACATTAAAAAATTGTAAGTTTTCTATAAAACCCTATCTGTTAATGTCACACAAGTACAGGGTTCTGAGTCCATGCAACCTTCCTTCTTAAGAAAAAAATCCCAGTTCCCTTTCACTCAATACCCAAAATGAACCATTTAACTTAGCAGTTTGTGTTTCTCCTTCTTTGAAAATCAATTCTGGAGAAAAATGAGGGACGTTAAGTAATGTCTCATATTTTACCATGCTGCCACTTTCAAGGCACCTTCATATCTTACATCCATTCAATTCTGTTGAAAATCTTACATATGAATTGTACGAGTCTTGATATTCTAGCAGCCAGTTAAGGAAACAAATGCAGAGCCATGACTGACTGAGTCTAAGGTTACACAGTACGAGATGGGGAAAAGTCTCCTGAGGTCTAATCCAGTAGTCATTCCATCAAATCACCCAGCCAATTCAGTTAATAGTGCACAGATTTGTTTTGGGAAATAGGAGCATTTTCTTTGAAGTTCTTAGCTATGAACTTGCCACTTCATAATATCAGTTAAAGAGTATTATTCTCAAGGCAAACATATGAAAACGGCAAAATTCCTCGGGTCAAGAATGAAATGCGTCGTTGTCCTCTATATTATCCTTTACTCTGAATATGAAGAGAGGGTGTTCTTGGTACAAGACAACACCGTGCCTTCCCATTTTATCTCAGCAGCAGAGATTCAGTCTTGACAATGATTATAACGTCAACAGTTGATACTAGGCAACTCCAGGTATATTTTAAAGAATTTATGGAGATATAAATCATAGGCCATAAAAATAACCTCATGTTTTGGTTTTCAGTATGTTTGCTAAGTTGTGCAACCTTTACCACCATCTAATTTTAGAACATGTGTTGTGCCCTAAAAATAAACCCTACGGTTACCGGCAGTCACTTCCTATCTTCCCCTTCCTCATCCCCTGCCAACGATGAATCTTTCTGTATCTATGAATTTACGTAACCTAGACATTCCATATAAGTGAAATAAAACATTATGGGATCTTATTTCTTTCCTTTTTTGTTTGAGAGATGGTGTCTCACTCTGTCTCCCAGGCTGGAGGGCAGCAGTTTCATCACAGCTCACGGTAGCCTTGACCTCCTGCACTCAAGAGATCCTTCTGCCTCACCCTTTTAAGTAGCTGGGCTGGGACAAAGGGGGCACACAAAGCTCATTTTTAGATTTTTAATAGAGGTGAGGTCTTACTGTGTTGCTCAGGTTAGTCGAGAACTTCTAGCCTCAAGAGGTCCTTGGCGTCCCCAAGTATTCGGATTACAGGTGTGAATCACCATGCCTGGCTGGCTTCTTTCACTCATTACGATGTTTTCAAGATGCATTTATGTTACAGCATGTATCATTACTTCAGTCCTTCCTATGACTGGATAATATTCCACTGTATGGACATTTCACATTTTGTTTATCCACTCATCAGTCAATGGACATTTGAGTTGTTTTCAGTTTTTGTCTATCGTGAATAATGGTGCTATGAACATTTGTTTACAAGCTTCTGTGTGGGCATACATTTTCAATTTCCTTTAATATATATATTATGTATAGTTCAATTCCCTTTAATAGATATGAAATTGCTCAATCATATGGTGACTCATATTTAACTTTTTCAGGAAGTTTTAAACTGTTTTCCAAAATGACTGCACTACTTTATATTCTACCAGATATGTATGCATGTTCCTATTTCTACAAATTCTTGTCACACTTGTTATTGTCTCTTTTTTAAATTTTAGTGTTCTTTGAAGAACAAAAGTTTTAAACGTAATTGAAGTCCAGTTTATCTTTTTCCTTGGTTTTAAATGTTTCTAGAAACCCATTTCCTAAGCCAAGTTCATCTAGGTTTACAGTTGTGTTTTCTCATGAGAATTTTATAGTTTTAGCTCTTATATTTAGGTATGTATTTCATTTTGAGTTGATTTTTATTTATGATAAAAGGTACGGGCCCACTTTCATTCTTTTACATGTGGTTATTGAGTTAAAATGTCCTCAGTTATTGAAAAAATGATTCTTTTCTAACTGAATTGTTTTGGGACCCTTTTGGAAAATCAGTTGACCATAATGTATTTATTTTTGAATGGTGAGTTCTATTCCATTTATCTCTATGTCTAGTCTCATGATAGTACTACACAGTCTTCATGACTGTATCTTTGTAGCAAGTATTGAAATCCGGAAGTGTGAGTCTTCCTACTTTGTTTTTCCTGTTAAAGACAGGTTTAGCTATTTTGAGTCAAATTGCTGTATGCATTTTAGGATTAGCTTGTCAATTTCTGCAAAAAAATGCAGCTAGGATTTTGATAGCGATTGTGTCAAATCTGTTGTTCAGTTTGGGAGTACTGCCATCTAAATCAGACACATCCACTTTATTCCCATTTTTATAGATCGCTAGTTTCTTTCAATGATGTTTTATAGTTTTCAGTGTATAGGTCTCAAACTTATTTTGTTATATTTATTCTTAAGTATTTTATTTTTGTTGTTGTTGTAGGAAGATTTTAAAAAGAACCAACAAACATTAATTTTTTTTTCTTTTGCTTTTTTTTTTTCTTTTTTGAGACAGGGTCTCGCTCTGTCACCCAGGATGAAATGCAGTGGTGCTATCTTGGCTCACTGCAATCTCTGCCTCCTGGGTTCAAGCAATTCTCCTGACTCAGCCTCCCAAGTAGCTGGGACAACAGGCGTGTGCCACTATGCCTGGCTAATTTTTTATATTTTTAGTAGAGATGGGGTTTCACCACATTGGCTACGCTGGTCTCAAACTCCTGACCTTGTGATCCACCTGCCTCAGCCTCCGAAAACGCTGGGATTACAGGCTTGAGCCTCCGCACCTGGCCAATTTCTTTAATTTAGAAAAATCAGACCACCTTTAAACCAAAATGGCAAATTTAATCTATATGATTGTGCTCAAACTGTCCTGTATTGAAATAGTGCTAAAATACTATTTCATTTACTATACAGTATTTACTATCCTTGCCTAATCATAAATTATCTGAGACACATGTTAAAAGCATAAGCCTCCACCACTCTCAAATTATTGACAATACAAACAATTACACTTACTCAGGTTTCACAAGTTCTACTTTTACTCATTTGTGTATGTGACTGTATTGGACTTAAGTTAAGAAATGTTAATGTAAGATACATGCAGAATCAAAACAATGGAAGATAAATAGATTTCTGGCATATCTTTTTATGTAGTATCTCCTACACATTTGTTAAAGATATTTGTTTTAAACTTTGTATTGTAGTCTTCATACACAAAAGTGCATTTCTCTATAGATGTAAATTTCATTGAACTCACCCATGAAATCAATAGTCCAGAGCCTTCTTCCTCTGTGTTCCCTTTCAGCCACTACCCATTCTTACAAGAGCAACAACTATCCTGACTATTCACAGTGTAGAATAGTTTTACTTTTTAAAAATTTCATGTAAATGAAATCATATAGTGTATATCCATTTGTGTTAGCCTTTTCACTCTACATTGTGATGTTCATTTCATCTGTATGGATGCATACTGCTGAGAACTGCTTATTCTAGTTGATGTGTAGCATTCTAGTGTGTGAACAAACTATGGTTTATTCATTCTGTTGGTGAGCATTTAGGTAGTTTTCAATATGGGGGCATTATTAACTTTGCTGCTATGAATATTCTAGAATGTGTCTTTGATGGACATAGGTATGCATTTCTGTTTTACATACTCTTAGAAGAGAAATGGATTTATTAGACGGTATGTACATTATATCATCCATTGTAAATATAGTATAAATTTTTAAAAATGGGATCACAAATTTGGCATGAAGATTAGGATACAATGAAAAGTTTTGAAAATGGTGATGAATCCCAGATAATCTTCTGGAGAGCAGACATGGCAGAGTTTGGATTTTGTTTGTTGTGAGACATAGAAGACAGAAAGAAGATGGCAGTGCTAAGTTTCTAATGTACTGCTGTTACTCAGGATGACTTTTGGAGTATTGATAATGATCCGAGCAAAGTCCAACAAAAAACTAAAGGAGTATTTCACAGTAGTGCTACTGAAATTTTAAAATAGATTACAGTGATCTACTTAAATCTTATATTTTGACTTTAATTATGCTTTGAGGTGGAGAAATAAACCTCCTTCATGAAGTTGACATGTATTTCAAATTCCATTCCCTTTTTCCTGTAGCTATGAGATGCCTAAAAAATAACTCCTCTTTTTTTAGAGCCAGTAATAATTTGTTTTCTTTAAGTAATAGTTTTTCCAAATCAATGGCATTATGACCGAATTATTGAATAATATTTGTACAACTACAGTGAAGTAAAAACCATCCAAATTATTTCCAAATACTATCAATAGCTTTGGCAAAAGAGAACTAGTATTTCAAAGATAAGAAGTTATTGAAATTTCTTAGAAGAACTGCATTCTCCCACCTTGATAAACTACAAAATATCTCTCAAAAGTAAACCTCTCACCTTTTTTTAGCTCAGTAATTGTAACTGAAAAGAGAATCACATGGTGGTCTTTCATGTCACTACCTCACAGAGTAACAGATGAATGGAATTTTTTTTTTTGTTTTTGAAATATTATGGCTTTAGTAAGACTTAACATGTATGACTTCAGACTGATTCACATTGTGTTATTAAGGAAGGAGATATAAAACTTTTATGTCTGATT